TGTGCACACCATCTCGTGGAATGAACTCTTTGCGATAAGAGGTGTCCTTGGTAAATTCACTCAGAGGTGGTTCAAAGTGAAACTTTGGCTTCATATTTTCCTGCTTGCTTTGAGTTTTAGGTAAATACTCTATGGTATAAATAGTGTCCTTTTGCATGGGTGTCTCAGGAAGAGAGTAACTAAACCTTGGTTTAAAATTTTCTGTAACTTCCCCAACACGTGGTATAAAGTCTAAATTGTAGCTGGTATCCTTCGCAAATTCATCTACAGGTGGTTTGTAGGTATTCGCTGGCCTCAAACTCTCTTGTTTTTCTTGCACTCTAGGCGTAAATTCACCAGAGTAGCAAGTTTGCTGCTCCATGGGTATCAATGGGAGAGAATATATTGACTTTGGTTTGAAGTTTTCCGTTAGTTCTAATTTGCGTGGAATGAAATCTGCATTATAATTTGTTTCTTTTGAAAACTTTAATTGCGGTGGAACATATTTATTAGATGGCTGCATGCTATGTTGCTTATGCTGGAACTTGGGAGTGTATTCGTTTCTGTAACTCGTGATCTTATCCATGGGTAATTCGGGGGGTGAGAAGGTTCTATTAGGTCTAAAGTTCTGCGTCGGCTCAACTGTAAAAGGAAGGAACTCCACGCTATAAACAGTGTTCCTAGCAAATTTTTCCAAAGGGGGTATATATTTATTATTTGGCTTGGTACTTCTTTGCTTTTCTTGAAATTTGAACGGGAATTCTTTAGAATAAGTTGTCTGCTGTTCCATAGAAAACTCAGGTGGAGAATAGATACGTATTGGTTTGTAGTTTTCGGAAACTTCTCCTCTACGTGGAACATAATCGGTCGTGTATACAGTATCCTTGCTAAAGTCTTTGGTTGGTATTTCATACTGATGCTTAGGTTTCAAACTTGGCTGCTTTTCATGAATTCGTCTTATAAACTCTTCATTATAGCTTGTCCTCTGTTCCATAGGCAAAGCTGGAGGAGAATAAGTACGTTTCGGTTTAAAGCTCTGTGATTGTTCTCCTCCGTTATAAATATACTCCGACTTGTAGGCAGTCGTCTTTGCAAACTCACCGCCAGATGGATGGTAATGATTCTTTGGCTTCGCGCTCTGCTGTTTTTGTAGAGGCATAGGGGTAAATTCTTTGCTATAGCTGGTCTCCTGCTCCATACCCACGTCGGGGACAACATAATTCCTAACTGGCTTAAAGTTCTGCTGGTGCTCCAGATTTCGTTTCACAAACTCGGTGCTATACACGGTTTGGGTTGAGAATCTTTCTTCAGGTGTCTGGTAAGTAAAGCTTGGTTTCACTTTTTTTTGTAACCCTGCATTTTTTGGTATATATTCTTCAGAATAGGTGGTTGACTTCTCCATCGATATAATTGGAGGCGCGAATACAAGCTCAGGTTTGCAGCTTGCCGCGGGTTCAGCGTGCTTGTATACAAATTCCTTGTTATAGGACGTATCCATTACAGGATCAGTTTTAACCGTTTCAAGATTTTCGAACTTCATCTAACCTACATAAGTGCGTAAAAAAGATTTTACTCGAATTAAAATACTACTTTATCTAACACGTTAGCTTTGTGCTTCTAAAATAAAAGTGAATTTGGATACCTAAAACCCCCTCCTTAAAAACTAAGTTACTTTTAGGCACAATATAGTATCTTAATGATAATAGAGAATCAAATAATTCTCCATAGTAGTAATGGATATTTTTTAGCCTCATTTCTTTCAGCATAATTAATACAAAACAAGAAAAATATACCTATGCTATTACAATCATTACATAGCACTGAGGCTTCAATTCTATCAGTAGATCTTTACTGAGAACATTGGTAACGAGGCATACTCACTACGGATATAATCAAAATTACGTCTGAGTTAGGTAACTTCTGGGCCAACTGTTAGTTAAAGTTGCCTTTTCCCCATCAGTCTTCTTGATTGAGGGCTTTCTAAATAGTAGCCTCACGGGGGATAATGTATCATCATGATTTCAATAAGAACACTTTCTCTTCTGTACTGTATATAATCAGAGATGCAACCTGCATCTAGATTATGCTTTTACTAGATATACACGTTAGTCAGTTGGAAATCATTTACCTTAAGATTAGCACAAAGGAAATTAATTGACGCGGTAAGGTAACATCCTTAATTTTAGGAAAAGAAATCGCAAGGGGATGAGAAAGGTAGAATCAGAAGACAAGAGGAGACGTCTTCAGTGAGCCTTAGCAGAAAAAGTAGGACCACGACATTTGTGGGTTGGCATACATAAGAAGTGATAGTCATGGTATTATGAGATAGAAACAGGAATG